TTACGCTTCTGCGGAACCGCTTATGCGGTCCATTTCCGCAGAAGCGAACATACCAGATACCAGCAAAATCTGCCATTTCCTCAACTTGAATTTCATCCCGATAGCCATCCGAAATCACCCCGAGGCCCCCGGGACCTCAACCAAAAGCACCAACATGTCTTAAAACATCATACGAACTTGCTCCAATCATCAAAACACACCTAACAACACTAAAATCATCAATTCACATCGGATTCAAGCCTAAGTTCTTCAAGAATTTCCGAAATGCACTTTCGATCAAAACCCAACCAAATCACCTCCGAATCATCTGAAATTTTGCGCACACATTCAAAATCACCTAACGAAGCTACTGCAACTCTCGGAATTCCATTCCGACCCCCGGATCGAAATCTCACCTACCAACCGGAATTCGCCAAAATCCTAACTTCGCCAATTCAAGCCTAATTCTACACCGGACCTCCAAAATCACTTCCGATCACTCTCCTAAGTCACAAATCATCCCCCGAAGCTAACCGAATCACCGGAAATCACATCCGAGCCCTCTAACTCAATAGTCAACATCCGGTTGACTTTTCCAAAACAGGCCTTCCTTAAAGAGACTAAGTGCCTCATTTTCTTATCAAAACCAATCCAAAACAACTCTAACACACCACATACCGATAACGAAACATGAAGAAGCATGAAATGGGGAAAACGGAGCAATAACACATGAGACGACGGGTCGGGTCGTCACATAAACTTAGTTCAAATTCTATATATTCAACTTTTTAGTTTTAGCAAGAATACATAGCTTTTGAAAATCTAAGAGCTTAAAAAAAAATTGAAAAGCTATTTTCAAGTTCATTTTAATAGACAGAATGCAATATTTTTTTTTCTTGCGAGCAAAATATATGTTGTTATATTTCTTTAATATATATATATATATATATGTATATGTATATATATATGTATATATATCAACTATTATAAAAGCACAAAGCCTCAGAGCAAAATACTAATAAACCTTCTTACCTTTAAAAATAAATTTCAAATAGGATAACATTGACATTTAATTATTTTTCCTAATAATTATAATTTTGAAATTAGTTATAATATTATCATAAAATTATTAACTTAATTGTCCATTTTTATTGGTTACTACATAACGAATCATAATATACATGGTTATTAAGACAAAAAGCAATATTCATAAGATATTCTAATTTCAAATTACTAATAAATGTTTTGGTATACGTTAACTTAATTTGTTACTTAAATAAATATTATTAGAAAAGGTCATGAATAAATGAATAAAATTCTTTATATGTGTGTCAATTTCATGATCAATATTTATCACTCAAACTTTTACTTAATATTATTTTTGTGACTAAAACCATATTTTGAATGTTATTTATATATGTTTTAAAAAATAATTCTCATCAATATAGGTTACAGACTAGTATATATTATGTATTGAACTCCTTTAATTTATTCGTGTATTTATTTCTTTAAATTTTAATACCCCTTAATAAAAATACTAACTCCGCTACTATCACTATAGGCCAATAGCTTATAGGCCTTACTTATACCACACATAATTAAAATGTGGTATTTATCTCACCTATAATCAAATTATGATCATACCTAATATCTTATTTATGACTTGGGTCTATTACACTAGTCCAAACTTTCAACATTTGATAAAAAAAAAGGCAGAATCCCACAACCACAAAACCTTTTGACACATCCAACATATATAGGAATGTACCACTTCTATTCATCACCATTTCATCTTCATTCTTCTGATTAACTTTATTTCAAAGATGAGCAAATTAGAGCTGGTTTTTGTACCTGCTCCGGCCGTCGGTCATCTTGTTTCCACATGTAAATTTGCAGAGAATTTGCTCAGCAAAGATCAAAGGTTATGCATAACAATTCTTATCATAAGGCCACCTGCACCATGGGATGCAGGTATAGATGCCTACATCAAGCGATCCTACTCTACTCGTGAGGGCAGTAGAATTAGATATATCACACTTCCTCAAGTCGAACCACCATCTTCAGACAAGCTAGAAAAGTCTTTAGAGAATTACTTCTCTCTTTTAATAGCCAGTTATCGACCACTCGTCAAAGAAGCAATCATCAGCAACAAATGGCCTGATTCGGACCCGAAAACCATTGGATTAGTCATTGATATGTTTTGTAGTTCAATGATTGATGTAGCAAGTGAACTTGGAATTCCTTCTTATCTTTTCTTCACTTCTGGTGCAGGTTTTCTTGGTTTCTTGTTTTATCTGTCTGTTTGGCATGAGAAATTCGGGAGAGAATTTAATAAATCTGATGCTGATTTAAAGATAGCAGCCTATGCTAATCCTGTACCCTCAAAAGTTTTGCCTACGTTCGCGTATAACAAAGAAGGTTACAACTCATTCCGCGAACATGGTATTAGGTTTAAAGAAACTAAAGGAATTCTTATCAATACAGTAGCAGAATTCGAAAATCATGCTGTAAATGCCTTAGTATCTAACTCTGAATTGCCTCCAGTTTATACAGTAGGATTTCTTCTTGATTTTGAGGGGCAAAAGACTAAGGGAAATTCCAATATTGAACATGAAGAAATCATGAAATGGCTAGACCAGCAGTCACCTTCCTCTGTTCTTTTTCTCTGCTTTGGAAGCTCAGGGATTTTTGAGCCACCACAACTAATCGAAATGGCAATTGCACTTGAACAAAGTGGGGTGAGATTCTTGTGGTCAATACGTCGGCCTGTAGATGATGAATATGCAAAACTTGAGGAGATATTACCAGAGGGATTTTTGGAGAGGACTAAAAAGAAAGGAATAGTATGTGGTTGGGCGCCTCAAGTCAATATCTTGGCTCACAAAGCTACTGGAGCGTTCGTGTCTCATTGTGGATGGAATTCGACTATAGAAAGTTTATGGCATGGAGTTCCAATTGTGACATGGCCCCTTTATGCTGAGCAACAAATCAATGCGTTTCAATTGGTGAGAGATCTTGAGATGGCAGTGGAGCTGAGATTGGATTACAGGATGCGCGGTAGTGATCGTGGTGAAATTGTTAAGGCAGAGGAGATGGAGAAAGCTATAAGATGTATAATGGACAGTGAAAATCCCGTGAGGAAGCGAGTTAAAGACTTAGGAGAGATATGCAGGAACGCGTTAATGGAGGGTGGATCTTCTTTCAATTCTATAGAAAGATTTGTTCAAACTATTCTTGATTCCTAGAATTGAGATTAGTAGAATTTTAGATTCTATATTCTGTTGAGATGTATAATGTACTGCTCGTATTCTCCAAAAATATTGTTGTACTCGTATCGATTCCCCCAAAAATACACTGTTTTGGTGGATTTGTCATGTACCCGTAATATTTTTGAATAATTCAGGCAACCTAGGATATGAGTGTATATGTCCATTAATTGGTGGTTCCTAAGAGTTAAGGCCTCACAGCAGTAATTTGTTTGGCAGTAGAAATATCTTTTAACAGTCAGCAAACTAGCTATGCTTTATTCTCTCTTTGTTTGCCATCTTGTTCTGAAATTGTGATTGCTGCTACTCTTGCCACTATTTAACACAAGGTCGCTCGTTTAATTGGCGCCTTTATTGAAATGTCGTTTTACTTTACTATGTTCTTTTTTAATAGAATTTCAAGAAAAGCTTACGCTTAATTGAGGAAAAAATTAAGTTATGTGTATTGTCAACTTAATTTTTTTTATATAATTAGTGTAATTTAACTTGCAATAATAAACAAGTTATCATTTTATTAGGTTAACAAATAATAATTACAAAAAACAAAAGTATCTGCAATTTCTTTAAAATGAGCTAATTATATGAATTTTTTTATATGAGTGCATATAATTTATGTCGCATTCATTGCTTATAACCACATTAAAAATTGTGTTGCTGCTCCGATGACGTGGATCATTATTTTGTGGTTCTCTACTTTCGTTGAATATTATACATGGCTGCCGACGTATCCACGACAGCAACGCCTTTGTGTCTTGTTTATTCTGCGTATGTCTTTTTAATTCGCATTGTCGTACTAAAGCAATTGAAATGAAATCAGTAGATCAAATACTTCTTCTATTCCTTACCAAAGATGGAGAGCAGAGAGCTGGTTTTCATTCCAGGGCCAGGAATGGGTCACCTCGTCGCCGCTGTTGAAATTGGCAAGTTACTCACCAGCCGAGCCAATTGTCTTTCAATTACATTCTTTATCATCGACCTTCCAATTGAAACAGCTATACATACTTATACAAAGACATTAGCAGTAATTGATGATTCTACCACTTCACGCCTACGATTCTTACACCTTTCTCCTCCTCAATCTCAAAGTAACAATCGTAATAAACCTCAAGAAGCTGTTCTCGTTGAGTTTTTTGATAATTCCAAGCAAATAGTAAGAGAGGCAATTGTTGAGAATTTCATGACTCCTAAAAGTAAGTCCGGTACTCGACTTACTGGTGTGATTGTTGATATGTTTAGTGACAAAATGATAGAAGTAGCAACTGAACTTGGTCTACCGAGCTATGTGTTCTTTACTTCTAGTGCTGCTTTTCTCGGCCTCATGTTTTATGCACAGACGCTTAAAGATGATCATGATCGTGATATCTCCGATTTCAAGGATTCGGATACGTTACTGCCTGTTTCGACTTATTTAAATCCTCTTCCAGCTAAGGTTTTGCCAAGTGCCATGCTGGATAAAGATGGTCGTTTGCGTCTACCCCTGTCTACTGCTCGAATGATACGACAGGCAAAAGGGATCATAGTTAATACTTTCTTAGAGCTTGAGCCACATCCAATTAAATCTCTCGGTAAAGAAGATGGGGTTCCATCTTTATACCCAGTTGGGCCTATAATCAACTTGAATCAAGAACGGGACGAGAGTATCAACGACTGGTTAGATGAGCAACCAGATTCTTCGGTACTGTTCCTCTGTTTCGGGAGCTATGGGAGCTTTGACGAGGAACAGTTGAAGGAAATTGCTATAGCCCTTGAGTGTTGCGGCTGCCGTTTCTTGTGGTCCCTACGACAGCCGCAGGCCAAGGGCAAAATAGGTACTCCGGACGATCTTGCACGTCCGGAGCAAGTGTTGCCAGAAGGTTTTTTTAAACGAACTTCACGACGAGGTAAATTGATCGGATGGGCACCTCAAGTGGCAGTGCTGTCACACAGGTCAATTGGAGGATTCATTACGCACTGTGGTTGGAATTCTGTACTGGAAAGCTTGTGGTTTGGAGTGCCAATGGCAACATGGCCTATGTATGCAGAGCAACAAGTAAATGCTTTTGAGTTGGTGGTTGATTTGGAAATGGCCGCGAATATAAAGATGGAGTATCGGAGTGAGAGTCCCGTTTTGGTCACAGCAGAGGAGATAGAGCGCGCCATAAGGCGACTGATGTTGGATAGTGCAGAGGAGAAGAATGGTATCAGAAAGAAAATGGAGGAGATGAAAGAAAAGAGCAGGAGAGCCATGTTAGAAGGGGGATCATCTTACTATTTTCTGGAGAATCTGATCAAAGATATTAAGGATCATTCACCTACTTGAAAATTTTAATTGCTTTCTGCTACTTTCTACTACAACAACAAACCCAGTGTAATCTCATTGGGGTCTAGGGAAGATAGTGCGTACGCAGACCTTACCCCTACCTTATAGAAATAGTGAAGTTGTTTCCAATAGACCCTCGACTCAAGGAATTGCTTTCTGCTACTTTCACAATCATAATGTATAGCTAGAGAGAGCATCATATGGCACTGAGTTGGTATGTATTCGCCGAGTCTCTCTCTATCGCTCATTCTTAGATGTCAATCTTTTAATGACATGGATTTTAGAATTCATGTTTTTTCCATTGGCAAATTAAACTTTCACTTACAATATTCAGTCTAAGGTAATAAAAGTGAAAGTAGAATGTACAATTGGTAAATCATATACTGAAACTCTAAGTAAATCTTAATCTTCAAGTAATTTATTTCGTAAATTGGTCAAATAGACTATTGAAAGATTGCAACAAAGTAGAATGTTGTTGGACTCATCATTTACTATCTCCCTTTCTACTAACGCTTTGTTGACAAGTCAACTAATTGGACAAATTGTCACACCAATACATATACATAAGCTTAAACACGAATAAAGTATAATAATTAGAGTACAAAATATAAGAAAAATACGGGTTTCTAACCTACCATCAATTATGTATATACTAATAAATTTATTTGCGCTCGCACGGTATAGAAATCTTAAGTAAATTTACAATATTTTTGTTGTTGTAAATTAGTTTAGGTAGGAAACCAAAATTTTCATGTATGTATATACATACAAAACTAATTTCTATAAATAAATTAAATAGCAAATCTAAACATTTTCCTTGGAAATAGATTTTTAGAAATATGAGTTCAAATCAACGTTATGTAATCAAGTGAAAATTTAATAACTTAAGAAATCACAAGACCAAATTTAGCCTCAATTATGTAACCAGAAGACAGCGTACTAAAATTATATAGAATGAGGACAGTGACTTACTTATCTATTATAAATTGGAATGATTTTAAACTTGTGGACATGCTTAATTTTAAAACGGGTTTGTCGAATATAATGACAGGCGGGTAGTCCAAATATCAAAATATATACACTGTTTATGCATATATTATGTATATTCTATGTACATTTATATTAATATACAAAATATATATATTTGCCTGCTATATTTCCTGGAGAGAGGAACATGAATAATTCCTCAGTTAAAATTCTAAATAAAAAAGGAATACCACAATAGAGAATTTCACTATCAAATACACAAAGAAAAATATGAAAATACTTTCAATTCGTTGATTATGTAAGAAGAAATTGTCACCATTTAAGGAAAATACATAAACCAACTCTAAAGGAAACCAACAAATCTCACTAACTCGATAATCCTAGTCACACGGAGAAAAAAAATCCGACTATGGTTCAGTTTGATTTGGTTTGGTGTTGGAAAAAAAAATCCGACCATAATTGGTTTGTTTTGGTTTTAACTAAAGAAAGTCAAACTGAAACCAAAACAACCCTACATTATATATAAAGAAATTTTAGATATATTTAATATATAAATATACTTATTCTGCTGCAATTTATAAATATTTCTTAAATTTTTCATAATTTTATCTTTTAAGGTATTATTTCAAGGTTGGACTTAGGGGTGTGCATTCGATTTATTGATTCGATTTTGACCCTTATCGATAATTACTTATCGATTATCGATTTGTACATATGCTTATCATTATCGTTTCAATAAGGTTTCGATTTTTTCGATTTCGATTTATCGATTTTTGGGGCTTATCGATTCGGTTATCGATTACACCAATAAGAAAATTTGCGGGATTCCACAGAAAGTATATCGCTATAAACACGCCTAACTAATATGGACAAAAAGAAGCTAAAATAAGACGAACACCAGTTATAACATAAAAATTGTGTCAACAAGCAAATGCAACGAAACTAAAGTAAGGGATCAAATGTATGCCACCAACAGTCCAACGGTATAAAAAAAATACATCATCACGGCTAATTCTACTTTCCATTAATTTGAACTTCATTCCCTTGAGCTTTAAATATGATCATTCTTTAAATGTGGTAGATGAAATAATAGGGTTAGGGACTTAGGGTAAAGAAAAGGGTATTATAGAATAAGGGTTTAAAAAAAATTATTTTTTCTTTTTTAGTATTTCTTATCGGTTTATCGATAAACCGATAACCGAAGAGGACAAAATCAAAATCGAAATCGATAAGGAAAATTTCGAAATCGAAATCGAAATCGATAAATCGATACACCGATATCGATAAACCGATAACAAATAATCGATTCGATTTATCGATAAACCGATTCGAATGCACACCCCTAGTTGGACTTAGAACTTTTGAATGTTCCAATAAGTTTTATAGCCATTAACATTAGTAACTTAAATAATGCTAAGAGAAGTCCAAACCAAAATCAAATCAATACTAATGATAACAAAAGACATTCAATTCAATACTACGAACGACAATGTATTGAATATCTATTTTTTTTTTTTGCAATAATTTAGATAAAAATACATAACCTATTTTTATTTTTTCTTTAGCCTTTAGTCATGTAATTAATACTCCCTTATTAGTCTACTTATTTTAGCATGACTTAGTACTTTTAGATTATGTTTATTTTTATTATGGATTTTTAATTAACAATATTTATATTACATAATTTTATTGTCTTTATTGTTGAATATTTTAGGATAATGCCACACTTCTCATATTTTGTATTATTTTATTGGAAAATATATTATATAGTTGTTTCTTACTAGGATTAGAGAAATATTTTGAACACAAGTTATATGTTTTGTTCTACGAAGATTTTACCGGAAAAAATCCGAAAAATCGAGAAAAACCGAGATTGAAAAACCCGAGTTTTATTGGATTGGTTTGACCTTTAGATTTAATAACCCGACACAATTGGTTTAGTTTGGTAATTGTAAAATCCGAACCAACCCGACCTATGTACACCCCTACTAACAACTATATCGAATTCATACATTATATCTATTTTATTTTCTGAAATTTTGTGATAAAATATCAAGCAACCAATTAAAGGAAAAGAAAAGATTATATCATGACATATAAGAATCTAACGTAGTAGGGAAAAAAGATCATACCACAATTGCTATCCCTTCTCATCCGCATAACACTTTTTTTTTGTAATATCCCTTCTTTTTTCTGTCTCCTTCAATTTAAATGCAAGTTCTTCTTTTGACCCTTTACTTATAAGAAGCAAATGATGGTAGAGATTTTTGGTTTGTCTTATAGGAGAAACATTTTTTTTTTTTGGTAATTAACATTTTCATTACCAGGGAAAATATTTACACATTACAAGTAAATCAAACTCTTAAAATTTATCCTACTTTGCTATACTTTACCCCTCCCCATTTCCTATTATTTACACATTTATCTATCTATTACATTGGGTATCAATTTAGTCTATGTAGTATTTTCTCTGTATGTTTGCTACTTCGACAATGCAATTCTTGAATTATCTTCTTACATATTGCTTCCCAGCCTTTCGCCTTAGCTTGAAAAGTTCGAGCATTCCTTTCTTGCCACACGTGATACACTGTTGCTGCTATTGCCATTTTGTATAACTCAGCAGCAGCTGTTTTCCTCTTAGTCTGCATCTCAGCCCATCGTAGTTCCTCATCCCAGCCATTTACTGGTCTCTTTATCCCTTGCCATGCTAACAGTGTGCTTCACAAGACCTTTGCATATGTGCATTCAAAGAACAAGTGCTGTATGGATTCATTAGCTTGCTTGCATATGACACATTCTTGATCCACCTGCATTCCCCAGCTTTGCAGTCTATCCCTTGTGTATAGCTTCCCATGAGCTGCCATAGTTAGTATAAATATCCACCTAGGGCAGCCTGTGTTATGACAAACTACTCTTCTCCAACTAACTTTGTCAAATCTTCCACAGTTATTTGTTCATAAAAATTAATAATTAAGATGACGTTTTGATCCCTCTAATAGGAGTACAAGAAACGTTTATTTCTTTAAGGGAGTATCCTTTTGGCTTTTTAACATGAAATTGAATCAAAAGAGTGTGGGGAGAAGAATGAAATTACAGAGCAAAATAATGAGAGTTTAATGGGCAAATAAATACGTACTCAAAATAGAGGTAAAAAGACCTCATAAGCCATAACTTCGTCCCATGTGGCCTTTTGAACCAAAAGGAGTGACTGTTAATATTGTGTCGAACAAAACGTTGTGACCGTTGGAGGCATCCATAAATAAGGAATCAATAGGAAAGGTTGTAACCGTATGATTTACTTACTTTTTTGATTTTTGATAAGGGAAATAAGGTAAAAATTCAAAAAATTAACAAAAAAAGATAAATACAAATACTAGCCTAGGAGACGTGCCATGTCAACATTCTTTGGCCCTCTTTTATATATATACAGTTAAAATCTTTGTCATGTCAAATCTCTCTATAACAGCCTCGTTTGTTCCGAATATTCTTGGATGTTATAGCGAAGTGCTGTTATAGTGAACATCTATTATAACATAACTTAAAAATTAGTTCCGAAAAAATTTGGCGTATACAGTGAGGTTTTGTTGTTATATAGGGATACTGTTATAAAGAGGTTTGAACTAATTATTAAAATCGATCTAATTACTTATATTTATACCATGAGACCATTAGTATATGAAACTTACTTTTTTTTTTAAAGAAAGAAAACTTTATATAAAAATAGAAGACTTTACAATAAAGCTATCTTTTTTTTGGAATAAAGGCTGAGTAAAGACTAAAGGGATTGATATTTTAGAAAAAATTGCTGTTTTAATTGGGGGCAACGCACTGACTCATGCGCACTATGCTCAATCTAATTGGGAAGTAAAAACATAGACAGCATCCACGAAAACCAATGATATATCTACAAAAGAAGAAGAAAAAAAGCAGAAAGTGAAAACCAAAACCAAAACCAAAACCAAAACCAAAACCAGCAGCTGCAGTTAATATGGAGAAATTAGCAGAACTGATTCTGATCCCATCTCCGGCAATGGGCCATGTTGCTCAAATGCTAGAGTTAGCAAAACTCTTTTTCCGTCAAAATCATCATCTCACAATTACTGTCCTTATTATGAAACTCCCTGATTACATTGACGCCGTCAGTGGACCTTTCGTCGACTCTGTAGCTGCTTCATCCTCCTCTGATCGCCTTCGATTTGTTCACTTACCAGCAGCTGATCCAACACCAGAGTGGAGTTCCAAAACTCGAGGACATTTCGTCTACAGATTAGTACAAAGCCAAAGATCTCACATCAAGGATTTCTTAATATCTCAAAGCTCCGGCAATAAACTTGCTGGTTTTGTTGTTGACATGTTATGCACTCCATTAATGGATGTAGCTGACGATTTTAAGATCCCCAGCTACGTGTTTTTCACTTCCCCAGCTGCTTTTCTTGGACTAATGCTTCATTTCCAGTTTCTTGAAGACGAGTGTCAACAAGATGTTTCGTTGTTCAAGAACACTGATGGTAGTAATCTCTTATCATTTCCTAGTTACGCATATCCTGTTCCTCCAAAGGTATTGCCAATGGTTCTAGTCGATAGAGACACGTGGCGAGGGAGATTCCTCGATTTTGCTCGTGGATATAGAAAAGCCAAAGGCATTATTATCAACACTTTTGCTGAATTAGAAATCCATCAATTAGATGCTTATAAGAAAAACAACTGTAACATATCAAGATCTGAACAGGATCAGGTTCCACTTCCACCTATTTATCCAATTGGTCCAATTTTGAACCGGTCAAAATCCAAGTCAGAGTCAGAGGAGGCAGAAATAAAAAATTGGCTTGATCAACAGCCAACAAAATCAGTTGTGCTAATCTGTTTTGGGAGCCAAGGGAGTTTACCACTGGACCAAGTGAAACAGATGGCTTTAGCTTTGGACAACAGTGGCTGCAGATTCTTGTGGTCTTTACGTCAACCCCCACAAAGCAATAACGCGCAATTCCCCGGAGAATACACGAGCTATTCCGAAATCTTACCAGAAGGATTTCTTGATCGGATAGAGATAAAAGGGAAAGTTGTAGGATGGGTCCCGCAACTGAAGGTCTTGTCCCACGAGGCAATCGGGGGATTCGTGTCACATTGTGGATGGAATTAGATACTTGAAAGTATATGGTGTGGGGTGCCAATAGCAACATGGCCATTGCATTCGGAACAGCAAGTGAATGCGTTTCAGTTAGTGAAAGAAGTAGGAGTTGCAGTGGCAATCAGTTTGGATTATTGCGAGAGGAATAAAGATCAGCCAATGGTTACTGCAGACGCCATAGAAAAAGGGATTAAAGAATTGATGGAAACTAATACAACAGTAAGAGAAAAGGCAAAGGAGATGAAGGAGAAGAGCAGAGCTAGCGTAATCGAAGGTGGATCGTCATACTTGTCCCTCGGCAAACTCATAGATGAACTACTGAAAAATGCAGCTTTGTAACTTCTTCCAAAATTACCACAACTGAGTTAAAGTTTCAGTAAGAAACACCTTTCAGTTAGTAATAAGATTGAATTTCCCATTAAGAGTTGAAATAAATTATATTCTACTCAATTTATAGATGCTTGTATTTAAGCTTCTTATCCTACTTAGTCCTACATTTGTTTATATAACAACTTGTTAACCTTGTATAAAGACAAGTTCAGATCATCTACTCTTTTGAAATCTGTTGGCAAGGAATTTTTTAATGTCAACTATACATATTCAGCATTTGGACAAATTTAGTCGATCGATGAATAATATAGGCCAACTAGCTACACAGTCAATTATACTAATCATATTTTACAAAAGTTGGTTGAGACTTTGAGGATAAGCAGAGGCGGAGTCAGGATTTGAAACTTATGGGTTCAGGATTCTAGTTCTTTTAAATTACTAGGTTCTAACTTAATAATTTGCGCATATTCAATGAATTTCTTAAGACAAATATAAGGTTTGGATCAAAGCTACTGGATTCGACTGAACCGTAGCCGAAGGGCTGGCTCTGTCCCTGAGGATGAGCACTCCTAGAATGTTCAGAAGTTCACGGTGTACATTGAAAATATTGTTTGGATCAGCTGAAGCCTGAAACCATAATCACCCGCACCAAAGTGCTACTCCAGCAAAATAAAATCCACTACGACAACAAAGGCAGAGTTGGTTTTCATTCCTGCGCCGGGAGCAGGCCATCTCATCTCCGCCGTAGAAATCGCAAAACTAATTCTTGACAGAGATGAGAGGCTCTGCATCTCTGTCCTCATCATGAAGTTTCCCATGGACTTCGGGAGTCAACCCTACATCGAATCCCTCTCTTCTACAACCCGCTTGCAGTTTGTCGACATCACACTAGACGAGAAAACTGTTGCTGAATTCTTGTCAAATAAGGAGACTTTCTTCATAGATTTCATTCGAGGTCACAAACCAAAAGTAAATGACTTTGTTAATAACATTGTATTGGGGAAAATTGTATTTATATGGTGATGTGTCATAGCACGTAGACTGACCAAGTAGTCAAAGAATTAAGGTTGGTTAACAGATACGAGCAACAACAGACACGAGTAACGATAGATACGAGCAAGTTAAATGAAGAAGGTACGAGCAGTCATACAAATAATTCAACGCTCGTACCTATTCAAGACATTCAAAGGTCAAGGATCGAGAAGAGACAAAGGAATGAATCTGACAGCAAAAAGAGCCCAGATACAACATTTAATGAGTATTAAATACTAGAAACGTTAGAGAATATGTATTGAATGTATATGGTTGCATAACGTAACATTTAAGGTCATTAATTACCCATAATTGTCTTATAATGACAAAGGAAAAATCTGTATTCCCAAAACAGCTATAAAAGGGAAAGTCACAAACAACTGTAGGGACACGAAAAAATATTACTGGCATATACTTTGTTCTATTTGCTTTCTGATTATATTATTCAAAATCTCTTTCTTATATACTTTTCCGATTATCAGTAACCCGAGTTCTTCTAAATTCAAGCTTTGACCTAAAATTTAATTTTTGGCTAAACAAATTGGTTCCGTTACCGGGAATCTGATAATCAAGCATATCTCAACCTAATTTTCTTGATTGTATCAATCATGTCGAACAACAATGACAACACTCAAGAAAACCCAGAAATTCAGACAATCCAACAACTTCAGGGAGATTCCCCACGAGGCTCTCCACAAGGTTCTCCACGAGGCTACCCACGACGGTCTCGTGAAGGCACTCCTGATGGATCTCACACAGATGGACAGGCTCAATTCGAAAATGTTGAAACCATGAATGAGGCTCTGCAAAAACTCATTGCCTCTCAAGTCAATAACGCTCTTCAAGCTTTTGTTAGCCAATTACCTACTGTTCCACCCACATCTACTCCGAACAACAACACTTTGGAGAATCCTCGTTCAGGATTGGTTAATTCAGGCAGCGGTGGAACCCCTAGTGAAACACAAGAGAGAGACCCAGGTAATCCAGTTAACTCTGATTTACAAAATCTAGTACTAACCTTGCAGAAACAGCTTAAGGAGCAAAATGAACGCATAGAGCAAATACCTGGAGTACCGCCCGTGATCAAGGGAGTGGATATAGATAAATATTCCCAACAACCATGGAAGCCAAGTGCTGCTCCCCTCCCAATTCCAAAGAAGTTTAAGATGCCTGATATTCCAAAGTATGACGGTACATCAAATCCACGAGATCACGTTACTGCATTCACAACAGGTGTCAAGGGCAATGATTTGACTAAGCAAGAAATTGAGTCGGTCTTGGTCAAAAAATTCGGTGAAACACTCACTAAAGGAGCCTTAACATGGTATTCTCTTTTACCCGAAAATTCTATAAATTCGTTTGCTGAGCTTGCAGATTTATTTATCAAAGCACACTCGGGAGCTCAAAAAGTTAAAAAGTGAATGGAAGATATCTTCAAAATCAAGCAAGGAGACTCAGAGTTACTTAGAGAGTTTGTAGATAGATTTCAACGGGAAAGAATGACGTTGCCACGAGTACCTGACAATTGGGCAGCCATAGCCTTTGCTAGTAATTTGAATAAGAGAGTTCAGAAGCCACGAGGCGACTCAAAGAAAGCCTTCGAGAATTCCCAGCAACAACGTGGAATGATGTCTACAACAGATA